TTGAGTACAAACAGTTAGAAACCGCGTCTGCCACTACTCCGTGCCTCTGCTGCTAGTTTGGCCTGATGGTGATTATTGTATTAAGTGATCACGTGTCGCTTTTCTATTCACTTTGTACTCCGATCAGCCTCGCCGAGTATTCAAGCAGCTACGGCTTCTGTTTCACCAGCGCGCGGACGGACCCTCAGAGAGGCTGTCCCCACACGCACACAGCCAGACACGGCGGCCACGCAGTCAGGGAACTGCCCGCGGGCCCCGGAGGAGAGACGCCTGTGGTGTAAGGTGCAGCATGTTATTCAGCCGGCCCCGGGCACGATTATTCAGATGATCGTTCTGGCTCGGAGGGAGGGAAAGGCGGTGATTTATGAAGCAGCCTGGCGGGCGTGAGGGAGAGCTTTATTGCTAGACCGTGCTCCGTCCCGGGAATAAACGAGGTCGGGAAGGAACTCTCTCGTGAGAGGGACTGCGTTACATTGCAGGCAGCAGCGGGCGTGCATGGCACGAGGGGCCGGGCATGGGGGGGGGGCTCGGGCAGGGGCAGAGAAGGAGTGACTACAGATGTGGAACAGGAGACGGAGAGAGGACTGGTGTGTGTGTGTGTGTGTGTGTGTTTTACTGGAATTTGTCCTAATCTTCTGTGCACCAGCTGGACGGTTCCCTTCCTCTGAGTCTCCGGGTGGCAGAGTCACGGGGCCCTTCAGGGCTTCCCTGGAAGCGGGGTTATGTCTGATCCGTCTTCCTCGGAGGGCTGTGTGTGTAAACATGCTCCCTCGGTTGTGAAGAGTTTAGATCTGATTGGAAGTCCTGGTGCAAGGGTCGGGACATGGGGGAAATAAAAGCCGGGACGTGGCAGGGTGTGGCAGGACTTGGGCCCTTGAGATAAAGCAAAGGGCGGGGAGAGTCCTAAGTAGCTGAGGAGACTGCTCCTGGGACCGGCAGGGGAGGTGACCTTCCCTGTGAGCTGTGAGGGGAGCTGAGAGACTGAGGCCGGGATGGGGGCGCACTTGAGTGCACCCTATCTTTAAGAGTCCCAGCAAGTTTGCCAGTTGGGGTGATGCAATTGCCAACTCTGATACAAATATATGATAGTATTTGTACCGATTTCAGAGAGCCAGGGAGAGGGAAAGAGAGAGAGAAACACCAGTGAGGAGAGAGAATCACTGACGGGCTGCCTCCCGCACACCCCACACTGGAGATGGAGCCAGCAGCCCAGGCCTGTGCCCTGACCTGGAATCGAACCGTGACCTCCTGGATCACAGGCTGATGCACAAACCCTGAGCCATGCCGGCCGGGAGCAAGGACATTTCTAAAAGCCGGGATGACTAATGGCAGGATTGCTCCAGGTGTGTGTGTTGCTCCAAGATGAGTCTGAGGCTCTAACCAAAGGTCACAGGTGGCCCCGAGGGGCGCCAGGCTGTGGAGCCAGGTACCGGAGGCTCCGCCGGGAGGGGCGGGGCTCCGAGTGTGATGTAACTGACAGGTTTCCCGAGGCCTGATGTGGGTATCGGGGGCTTCCTCTTATGGTTATCAGCAGTGATCTGTTTTCGTTATTCGTGAGATGTGGCGCCTGGAGTACGCAGCCACAGGCTCCTGCTGGTGGGAAATCAGCCACAGCCTAGTGAGCTTCATTCATTCATTCATTCATTCATTCAATCAATCAGTCAGTCACTCACTCGCTCATTTGTCATTGTCTCCCCTACCCACGCGGGGTTTGGGGTGGGGAAATCCAGTGACAAGGAGAACACTGCTCCGCCCACACTCAGGCCAGTCTGTCCAGTAGGAGTAAGAGCTGAAAGGACTGAGGTGATGTCTGACACCTAGTAAGTTCCTGGTAAATGACAGAATGAAGGAATGGACAGGGGAGATAAGGAAATGAATAAAGGAAGTGACACATGCCCCAGGTGGCCAGGTCCTTAACCCCGCTTGGGGCGTGGAGCCTGGGGCGGGTCTCAGAGAAGTCCTCCGAGGGCTGGCATGTGGATTCTTTCGTTGCCTTGGGCCCCGACCCCGCAGAGGTGAGTCTCTGTGCCTGAGGGCCAGCGCAGTGCCGAGGGGCGGACCCAGGCCCCAGCCTTGTGCTCCTCGAGGAAAGTTTTACCTCATTCGGTTCCATTTAGCAGAGAGGTGGGCTCCCCTCTCAGTGCTGAACCTCTCCCAGAAGAGCCGAGGGGGCCCCCAAAAGCCAAGTCCACGGAGTCTGCGGCCTCTCAGTGGTTATGCATCGGCCTAGGAGCCAGGAGGTCACGGCTTGACGCACGGTCAGGGCACAGGCCCGGGCTGCGGGCTCCATCCCCAGTGTGGGGTGTGCGGGAGGCAGCCCGTCAGTGATTCTCTCTCCTCACTGGTGTTTCTATCTCTCTTTCCCTCTTCCTTGCTCTCTGAAATCAATATAAAAAATAATATATATGCAACACACACACGCACGCGCGCACACACACACACACACACACACACACAGTTGGCAATTGCATCACCCGAACTGGCAAACTTACAACCCTGGGACTTTCAAAGAACAGTCACGGACTCCCCCCACCGCCCGTGGCTGGAGGTGCGTGGCGTGGTGGGCTGTGGTGAGGGACACGCTCCAGCCCCCTGGGGACGGATGCTCTACAGGGACACGGGGGACCCGGGGACCGTGCGGGGCCAGGCCTCGCCCTGTGGGAGGGGTCAGCAGAGCTGTCCCCCGGGAGTGCCATGGATGCTGGAATCACAGACGGAGCAGCAGGCACAGGGCCAGGGCACGGGGTGAGCTATGAAGGGAGAGGAGGTCTGGGTGATGGTCGATGAGGAGCCTCTGGCTGCTGCTCGGAGCCGGGGCCGGAGCTGGGGCTGGCAGGGGAGGAGGCAGCAGTGGCGAGCCAGGTTAGCGAGCCCCCACCTTTATTCTTCTCTCAAACAGCAGAGGCAGAAAAGAGACCCCCTCCCCCAGCTCTCCTTCCCCGGACACGCAGCCCTGACTGCTCTGACCCCGCCTGCCGCCGCCTGTATCTTCTATATAAACACCCACCCCCACCACGGAGCCCGAAATAGAATCTGTTTATAGTGAGCACCAGTTGCCTTGAGAGGAATCTGGGCTCAGTCTGCAGCTAAGTCCTGTTGATGTTACTCCTGAAATAGCTCCGAGTCTCTCACTCCCCCGTGTGCCCGCAGCCCTGCCTGCATTCCGGTCCACATCAGCTCCTGACCACTGTCCACACGGGCTGACCTATCTAACATGCCAGCACCCTGCAGGCAACGTGGGGGTTGTATCAGCTAGCTTCCTCTGTGTACGTAACAAAGAGCCCCAGACCTTGGTGCCTTACACAACGAACCTTTGAGTCTGTGGGCTGACTGGGCATTTCTTCATTTCCTTCAGACCACCGTGGGGGCTCGGCTGGGGTGCCGGGGCCTCTGTCTGTGTAATTTTTTTTTTTTAAATATATTTTATTAATTTTTACAGAGAGGAAGAGAGAGGGACAGAGAGAAACATCGATGAGAGAAAATCATCGATCAGCTGCCTCTTGCACACCTCCTACTGGGGATGTGCCCGCAACCAAGGTACATGCCTTTGACCGGAATCAAACCCGGGACCTTTCAGTCCGCAGGCCGACGCTCTATCCACTGAGCCAAACCGGTGTTGGCTGTCTGTGTGATTTCTCACCCTCCCGGGGTGGGGGGCGGGGCTGGCTCAGCTGTGTTCATGTGGCAGAAGCGTGGTTCGTGCCCAGCAGCCAGACGGAGGACGTACGGAGCCCGAGCACTGTTTAAGCCTTTATTGGGGTGGCGTTCGTTACTGGCCCAGAGTCAGCGGGTGGAGAAATCAGCTCGGCCGCATGGGGAGTGCGTGGGAGGTGTGGTGAGCACGGCGGGGTCTCCGTGGCTGAGGTGAGGACTCGGGCCCGCAGGAGCAATGGGGTGCCCCGTTGGGGTGGCCCCGGACACCTGACTGCCTTGGTCGTGCTGGGCGGGTAGACTCGCCACAGCTGCCTGTTCGTCACTGGGCAGGATCAGTGTGACCGGGGCTGGTTTCCTGAGGGTCGGATGGGAGATCGTGGGGGGGCGGGGTCGTGAGGGGGGGGGGGCGTGCCCTGCACAAGTCTCGGGGTTTCCGGCCGCCATCAGAGCTCAGGTGGGAGTCCGTTGTATCCCAGAGTCCGGCTTCCAAAGCCGCTTCCTGCCTGGCCTCGGTCGTATCAGTGCTTTCACACTTTTCACATCTTTTTTTCTCCCTCTGACATTTTAAATGTATTTTTTATTGACTCCAGAGAGGAAGGGAGATAGAAGCATCCATGTTGAGAGAATCACTGATCGGCTGCCTCCTGCACGCCCCGCACTGGGAACGGAGCCCACAACACGGGCCTGTGCCCCGACCAGGAATCGAACCGTGACCTCCGGGTTCCTAGGTCGATGCTCAGCCACGGAGCCACACCAGCTGGGCCTTCTCACCTTCCGTTAGCTCCGTGGAGACTCTCTCCCAGCCTTTCCTCTTCGCCAGACAGCGTCTCCCCGCTGCTCCGATGGAGGAGCAGGTGGAACACTAACTCCTGTTCAGATTCCGCTTGGACCGAGTCGTGTTTTTTTCTCCAGTTCTCCCGCATGGCACTCCCAGCCCCGGGACCAGTGGCCCCCAGTCTACTTGCCTGTTTTCTTTTTGCTATTAGTTTCAGAGAGAGGAAGGGAGGACCATGGATCGGCTGCCTCCTGCACGCCCAGCACTGGGGAATGAGCCCATAACCTGGGCGTGTGCCCTGACCGGGCATTGAACCGTGGCCTCCTGGTTCATGAGTTCATGCTCAACCCCTGAGCCGGTCTGTTTCCTTCCCCGGGGCTGAGCCCTCGGAGGGCCTCAGTTATGATTCACGCCCCGTTCTGCCTCCAGCCCTGGGTCCGTGCATGGGACAGAGCAGGTGTTTACGGAAGCAGAGCCTGAGGCCTGAGGTGCTGGGCAGGCGGGGAGTGGGTGAAGGCCGTGGGCCCCCGGGGCGTCCGTGCTCACTTGCACTTTCTCTCTCTCTGTCCAGCGGGTCCCATCCTCAGACTCGGCATCTCTGACCTGGAAATGCCAGCAGGACTCGTCGGCATCGCCAGGGGCGCTGGTGGCCGGACGCTCTGAGCCTCGTGGCCAGGACCGTTGCGTTGGAGGACCGAGATGGACAGCCCCTCCACTGACTGAGGTACGTGTCCACACGAGAGACGGTGAGTCCCCAGAGAATGCTTTGAGCCAAGCTGAGGACTCTTGCCCAGAAGCAGAACCTCCCGGCTTGCTCGAAGGCTCGGGAAAGCGGCAGCTCTGGGCCTGCTCTCTGCGTTACAGTCGAAGGAGAAGATGGGTGTGGGTGACGCGGACTCCGCTGGGGACAGGTTAGGGAGGCGGGAGGAAGCAGAGGGGGGAGCTTCTGGGATTGGGCAAACAGTGAAATGATGGGCACATCCATCGTTTTCCCAGGGGGTGTGGGAGGCTGACAGTCAGCAGTGGCGTGGCAGCAGTAACAGTGAGGGGGCGTGTGGTCTCCAGAGAGCAGAGCCCGTGCTTTGAGGGGTCTGGAAAAGGGACATTTCTTTGTCTTGGCAAAGGCATGTGATCGGGTGTGTTATCCTACAGGCAAGAGGAATGACCCCAAACAGGCCCTGTTAAGGTGAAGATGGGCCTTTGGTAGGGCAAATACTGCTCCAGGCCTGTGGTCGGCAAACTGAGGCTCGAGAGCCACATGCGTCTCTTTGGCCCCTTGCGTGTGGCTCTTCCACCAAACACCACGGCCTGGGCGAGTCTGTCTTGAAGAAGTGGCGTTAGAAGGAGTTTACGTTTAAAACATGCGGCTCTCCGAAGCGATTTCAGTCCTTGTGCTGTTGGTATTTGGCTCTGTTGGCTCATGAGTTTGCCGGCCACGGCCCTAGGACATGCCTGCCCGCCGTACGCCACTTTTAGTGAGAAAGTTCACATTTCAGACCATCCTACACGGCTCCTGCAGCCTCTGAGTTTGCAAGGCCGCCGCGCAGGCCTCCCCGGAGCTTGTCAGGTGGGGAGGTGGGGTATGCGGCCTCTTTTCCTGCGTAAATGGCTCAGGAGCCGGTGGGGCAGGGACGTGGCCCCTTTGCTGGTCTCTTTGTAACGTGGCCTGTTCTCTGGGACAGTCCCCGAGGAGGGGATTCCCTTTGCGGGGGTCAGGGGTAGGGGGGAGGCGGGGGCGGGGGGAGTGCAGGCCTCTCCTTTTCCTAAAGGGAAGTGCGCTCATGAAAACTGGCGAGCTCTGTCCTGCCAGAGCTGGGGGGGGGGGGGGGGGGAGGCGCGGGGAGATAGACAGTTTAGGTGTGATGGCCCTGGGGGTGTTCCTGGGACTCAGGCCAGTGCTGAAAAGAGATAAACAGTGAGGGGGAAAGGGGTTGGAGGGGGGAGGTATGGGAGAGGGGGATTGCTGCTCAAAGGACAGATAGGATATCTGGCCCCCTGGGGTGTCTGGCCCCCTTGGGGTGTCTGGCCCCCCTGGGGTGTCTGGCCCCCTTGGGGTGTCTGGGCCCCCTGGGGCGTCTGGCCCCCTGGGGCGTCTGGCCCCCTCTGGGGTGTCTGGCCCCCTCTGGGGTGTCTGGCCCCCTGGGGTGTCTGGCCCCCTCTGGGGTGTCTGGCCTCCTCTGGGGCGTCTGGCCCCCTGGGGGGTCTGGGCCCCTCTGGGGTGTCTGGCCACCTCTGGGGTGTCTGGCCCCCTGGGGCGTCTGGGCCCCTGGGGTGTCTGGGCCCCTCTGGGGTGTCTGGCCCCCTCTGGGGTGTCTGGCCTCCTCTGGGGTGTCTGGGCCCCTCTGGGGTGTGTCTGGCCCCCTGGGGTGTCTGGGCCCCTCTGGGGTGTCTGGCCCCCCCTGGGGTGTCTGGCCCCCTCTGGGGTGTCTGGCCCCCTCTGGGGTGTCTGGGCCCCTCTGGGGTGTCTGGGCCCCTCTGGGGTGTCTGGCCCCCTCTGGGGCGTCTGGGCCCCTCTGGGGCGTCTGGGCCCCTCTGGGGTGTCTGGCCCCCTGGGGTGTCTGGCCCCCTGGGGCGTCTGGGCCCCTCTGGGGCGTCTGGGCCCCTCTGCCTGGTGACCAGGCCTGCCCTGGCTGTTTTGTCCCAAACATCCTGTGGGGCTAGAACACTCGCCCTAACGCCAGGGCGTTCCCTCCCCTCCCCTCCCCTCCCCGGTGCCTGCTATCTGCTCCGCCCCGAAGCAGACGGGCATTCCGTTGAGATAAGAGGAGGCTGACAGTCAGATAGAGGGGCCCCTGGGAGCCGGTGTAATGTCTGCAGCTTACAGCCTTTCTGAGAAGGGCTGCAGCCGGGAGCTGATCCTTCCCTGGAAGAGAGGAGACGGGGAGATGGCAGTTCAGGCTCTTCTTCCTTCTTTCCCACTAGCTCGCTCGCTCACCCACTCACTCACTCATTCATTCACTCACTCACTCACTCACCCACCCACTCACTCACTTACCCACTCATTCACTCACTCACTCACTCACTCACCCACCCACTCACTCACCCACTCATTCACTCACTCACTCACTCATTCATTCACTCACTCACTCACTCACTCACCCACCCACTCACTCACCCACTCATTCACTCACTCATTCACTCACTCACTCACTCATTCACTCACTCACTCATTCACTCACTCATTTATTCACTCACTCACTCATTCACTCACTCACTCACTCATTCACTCACTCATTCACTCACTCATTCATTCACTCACTCACTCACTCACTCACTCATTCACTCACTCATTCACTCACTCACTCATTCACTCACTCACTCATTCACTCACTCACTCATTCACTCACTCATTCACTCATTCATTCACTCACTCACTCACTCACCCACTCACTCAGCAAACACTCCCGGCCCCTGGCACCAGGCCACACACTGAGGTGACACAAGATGCTCATCACCCAGCGGGCGAGGCAGACAGGACGCACAGTGTATGCACAGATGCGGTGCTGGGTTCGGTGCGGGCTGTAACTGATGCCCACTTCGTTCTCGTGATACATTGGGGCCGGTCCCACCCACTAGGGGAGGTGGACCCTCCCCCTTTCTCCCCCCATTGTCGAGGGTTCTAGAGCGTGGGCCCGGAGTGAGCCAGCCTGGCGGGCACCGGTGGCTGTGTGCCTGGCGCCCCCGTCTGGGAGGAAGGAGGCGATCCCGGCACCCACCTGCTCCGGTCCGTCAGGACTGAATGAGACGATGACTCAGAGCGCTGGGCATGGTGCCTGGTGCATAGTAACTGCTCACTAAACATAGACGTGGCACCACCAGTGGTATTTATAGCTCAGCCGCACTCGGGTGGGACTGGGGTGGGCTGTGCGAGGGTGGGACTAGGGCGCCCCCCGCTGCTAGATCAGGGAATGTGTCTGCCTGCCGCAGTGGATTTCAACCTTTTACATCTCATGGCACACGTAGACTAATGACTAAAATTCTGCCCCCCCCCCCACATACAACTAGTTAATTAACTAATCTAAAATTTTATAAAAAGGAATTTAAAAAATTCTGCCACACGTAAAGACGTATTCTATTTTTGCCTATGTGACCAAGAAAAAAAAAAAAAAGTATGGTTTTGGTTTATTTGCACTGATGGCTATTGCTGTTGGCTGCAGTCATTTCTTTACTTGACAACCCAAGAGGAAAGCTCAGGGCCCCTGACTCAGTGGGCACCGTGTGGGAAGTCGCTGGCCTTCAGGGTCGGGGGGAGGTCACGGTTCTCGGGCGGCCGGACCCAGAGGCCTTGGCAGTGCCAGTGTCCCGGGCACGGGGGGCGGCCAGGGGCTGGAGATTTCCCAGGTGCCTCTGGAAGCCAAACGTAGAGACTGAGTCATCTTCAAGGCGCTGGTTCTTATCTGGTCGTGCCTGGCGGGTGGACAGCTGGTTTTGAGCAGCGACCTTGGCTCCCCAAGGGCGTCCAGCTGCGTCCGCCTTTCAGGGTTACGTCACCTGTGGCGGGGCCAGAGTCACATTCCATAGCAGGAGGAACCGGGCTAGCCGTGACCTGGGCCTCGCCAAGGTCCCCCCTCCCCACCTCCCACCCCCGAGTCCCTCATCTGCGAACCCAGAGTAATTTTAAGAGTCATTTTACAAGCCTGGACTCGGAAGGCAGATGGCCCAAGTTCAAGTCCCTCCTGGGCGAGCCGCCTAAGCTGTCTTCATCTGCGAAATGGACACAAGCACCAGCCTCATAGGATTAGCCTATTAATATACGTAGGGATGCAAGGACCCTGCTAGACAGGAACAGCCCCGACGGTGGGTGTTTTACCTGCAGCGTCCTGCTGGGGGCCCGCCACTCACCGGGGCCTGGCCCGGCCTGATGATGGACACAGCCTCCCCGCTCCGACGTTCCCCGCCGGGGTCCGCGTGGGGGCCGGACCAGCCCTGTGGTTCTTACTGAGATTGTAGCTGCACCTCAGAAATCACCCCCCCGCCCCCAACACACACACACACAAACCAAGGCTTATTCCTCACAGATCCTGGAGGGGTGCGGAGAACTTCCCGGGTGAAGAGAGAGAGAAGGGAGAGAGAGAGAGAGGCTGACACTCCGGGCTGGGGTTCTGCCCTTTTCGGGGTGGAGGTGGGGTGCCTGGTTCCCTTCCCTGGTGAATCTGAAACATACGAGGGACACGGGGCGGGCAAAGCGGACTCACTCTGACTTCGCTTGGCCAGGGCTGTCTGAGGGGACCGGGCTGGTGGCGGCCCGGCTGTGTCCAGCTGTGCAGCGGCAGTGTTCCCCCAGGCAGTGTTGTCGGGCGGCTGCCTGGCACTCAGAGGCTCGCACCCTCCCTGCCCGTCCCTGGTGCTCAGCACGGTGCCTGGCATTCACCCATCAGATTCCTGCAGGACATGCTACATCATGGGACACGCGTAGTTCCGTAGGACATGTTACATTCCACAAGACATGCTACATTCCATGGGACACGCTCAATTCCAGAGGACACGCTTATTTCCATGCGCTATGCTCAATTCCACAGGACACGCTCAATTTCATAGGACATGCTACATTCCACGAGTCATGCTGCATTCCCGGGGGCATGCTCAATCGCATGGGACACGCTTAATCCCACGGGCAGAGGCTGGGTCCCCTTGGCCATGGCAGCCTGTACTCCACCTGTGTGCTGGCTGCCTTGTCCTGTCAGGATGAGGACCCCCCACACGAGATGGCTTGCCCCAGAAGCC